GTGTGTGTGTGTGTGTGTGTGTGTGTGTGTGTGTGTGTGTGTGTGTGTGTGTGTGTGTGTGTGTGTGTGGGTGTGGGTGGTACGTACATTCTGTGTAAATAATTGTCAGTTGAGAACGTAGAACTGACAAACTGTGACAGCGCGTGTTCACGGCCACAAACTATTGCAGTCTCGATATTGGCATGACAATCACCGCAGCGTAGTCAAATCGGACGATTCGCCGTAATTCCCTCGTGCGCGTGATCTCCATGATAACGTCATTGCTGTGTGATCATTTACTCACATCGGTGGATTGTTCTGAAAATTGCAAAACGAGTGTTCGCTTATTTATTATATAACTTACAATATATTAGTATATGAAACTAACTGCGTTAGCGTTAATAGTCAGGAGTATATGATTTTACGTATTATAGTATTGTTATTAAGACGGAGCTGGGAGCCCTATAGTTGCCACCGTACATATCCGTTTCAATTGTATAACTCACCTTTGAAGTACATGAACAGTTGGTTGCCTGGCAATGGTGGCTGGCATGCCGTATCATATAGGTGATCGACTCCATACACATTGGCCTGTGCGTATTCTACGGAAATTAAGCAGCGATAGAACGCGCGTTAGTGAATACGTCTGTGAAATAGCGTAAAATAGTGTAAATAATGTATGCGTTTGTGCGCGCGTGCGTAGGCAGGCGCGCGAAAGCGAGTGAGTGAGTGAGTGAGTGAGTGAGTGAGTGAGTGAGTGAGTGAGTGAGTGAGTGAGTGTGTGTCCAAGTGTAATTGGAAGGCAGCTTACTCGTGCTGAATGCATCTAGGCAGAGTCCATGGCCGATATTGATGGTGGATAGACAGTCACAGTTATCGTCGTCAAGTATAAGTGATGCCACCCCGTTCTGCTTGCGATACATGAACGAATCCTGCACTGCTTTTGGGGCTGTTCCTGGAAATGGACCATTTAGTAAAGCTTGAAATCGTTTTATATCCAACAACTTGTGTCTAGCACGAAAGTTAATAATTTTCATTACGATGACTTGATTTGCTCCATAGCCCGGCATCAGATAATACCAGTAAAGCTATCAAGATAAGAACTAAAATTTAAGTTAAATTAAAAATAGTTAAACCAATAATTACATAAATGCAAATGCCTATAAACCTGAAATAACCACGGGGTTCCATGCTTGGTCGTTCGTAACTTTAACTTCCTCGTGGTCATGAAATGCTCGCCAGGCGGCGTGAGCTGTCGGGTTGTTCACATCAAACTGCCATCTGCAACAAAAGCGAGTATAATGGGAACACCGATTACATTTTGATATGTAGGCTAATGCTAAGGCTGATATCTAGGCTGTATGTTCACTAATAATCATATAAAGTATTAATGGCGATAGTTTTGTGAAATTAATGTAAAACATTAAACATGCCCCTTGGTAAATTGGTTGATAGGTTTGAGAGCCTAGCCTCGTTGAAGTAAATAAATACGATATTATATTTATGCATCCTGTATACATTCTGCCATTAGGAACTGGGGATCTCTCCCAAAAATAAATCTACATAGCGCACGAGTTAAAAACATAGTAACAAGCTGTTTATTTCTTCAGTTTCATCGGCCCTAAACGAAAATGGGTGAAGCCCCTATCATACACTAACAGCCGTGAAACTATTGCTGCTTTCCAATGTAACGAGTTGTTATTGGTGGGATCTTTAAAGTCACTGCTTCGAGATCTTCGATATATATATATATATATATATATATATATATATACACACTACCTGTACATGTTTCCAGAAGAATCAGCAGCCAGTATTTCCGTTTCCGCTTCAAGTAGCCTAGGTGGCAATCGACCGAAGCAGAACCTATCGCTCGCCTTGCAGCTACCATACTCCACTAAATGGAGATGTGCCGGAAGAAGAAAAATCGTGCTTAGTGATATGCATTCAACGGGATAATTGAGTGAAAATGTGCTCTCCAGCAACGTATAGTATAATAAGAGAACATGGCAATCACCTTTCATCGCTTTCCCCCTGTCTGCCTCCTTTCTCTCTCTCTCTCTCTCTCTCTCTCTCTCTCTCTCTCTCTCTCTCTCTCTCTTCTATATATATATATATATATATATATATATATATATATATATGATATATAGTATATATATCGTAATATCCTACCTAACGTAAGTGATGCATTCCAGAAAAACGTTCGTAACGCGAAAAACCGTAACGTGTATCAGATTTTACCATTTATTGTCATCCCATTATTGATATGCATTTCTTCAAATCGGAAAATTCTTCATATCATTTTTTGAAGAGTTATAATACTAATATCTTACAACTATATAATACAATATTGACCAACGGGACTGAGCCTGTCCGCTCCTCGCGTCACTCCTAGCTGGTATATAGCAGACACGGGGAGACAGATTGTGTAAACAAACAGCGACAGCAGTACGATACACGTATCAATAAAGACCCCCCCCCCCGTCTAGCGTGTTCGCAGTTGGCTGTACATATGTTGAATAACTACGGGCGATTGAGCACGTAATTTTTCAGTAGAAACCCCACTCGTTCTTTAAAGATTAAAAAGAGCACGTAAAAGCGACGCGAATTTTCGTTTTGTATCACGAGTAAAGTAGTCGCAACATAAAAGTTACATATAAGCGAATTTACGTAAGCCGGCTTGTCGTATATATGTGTACATATATATATGATGATATATATATATATATATAGATGTATATATATATATATATCCGGGATGTGTACATTACCGGGAATAAGGATAATATTTCCTTGCTGCAACCGAAATTTAGATACCGGGATAGGGTAAGCCAATAAAATGGGCTAAGTTATAGCTGTTCATTACATATGCGAGAACACGTGAATAAAAATGTTCTCTCTCTCCCGCTCTCTCTCTCTCTCTCTCTCTCTCTCTCTCTCTCTCTCCCCCTCTCTCTCTCTTCTTATATATATATATATATATATATATAAGCATACTCCGACGGAGCAACAAATTTGGTGACTCCATTGCAAAACGACATTGATCTATTAGAAGCGAAAGAGTTATAACCAGACAAGCGACTGAATAAACTATCTACATATAGGCCATACTGATCTTCGACAATAAATGGCACATAAGGCAGCGATCGTGCCAAGTTTGTACAGTTTGACATTGACGTTTCCGTATGCGCATGCAAGGCAGACTTGCTGGTAGTATCTTGATCGATGGCTTTATAATATAACAGTTATTGCCTTCGTGTCCGCAAAACCTGCAATGCTATAGATCCGATAATTAATATTTGCCCGCCACTGAATCAATTCCAGTGTTTCTATTATAAAACAGGCTGCTTTTGCTCTCAGGCCAATGCTGTCAATCATGCTCACTCTATGTAATACCTTGCAGAACATCCGTGGGCCATGCATTGGCCGTGTACCACCAGAACGACCTCCAGCGAGCGCCATCAATCTCAATAGTAGGATATTCATCATCTGTAAGGATGTCAGCAATCATGTTAGCTGTATGTAGCGCGCATATGCCACTAATTAATTAATATCGTCGTAAGTATCGTGTAGGCTGCCCGCATTCCCGCCGAATAACGCGTGGATTCGCACCCATCGAAAATGACACGAATGACGCAGTACAGAATTATACAATGCGCGGATAGAATTTGGCTTATAAACGCTAATTACGCAGCATTTAACTTCATATACCATACAATGCAACAAATCGTAATTACCGGCAAGTATATAGGTCAACAAGTATATAACATGAGTCCTCAAAATAGCTTAAATTTTCCTCTAACTTGCCCTCATCTCTCCTCTAGCTATCTGCTATATCGCGGCTGAATTAAGTTTTAACAGCCATCACTCGCATAATAGGCGTTCGGCAGCGGAACCTATTGACAAGGTAATTCGAGTATAAATGATTCGGGCGCTGTGCTTTAAGGTTTCACGTTCCATGTATTTACTGAGGAAAAAACAGTGGCGTGTCACGTCAGAGTAATGGTCAAACAATAGCTTATTGGATCAATATTCTTGGAGGGGAGTAGTAAAAGGTTGCAAGATACGCCATGTTGCTCACTATGCGAGCTTTACGTTGACGTTTCTTATCGTACAATTTAATTCCTTCATGAGAGCAATATTACGTGTAATTTATATCGATAGTCTGCCTTCACGCTTAGGGGCTAACAGAAAATTCACTACCTTTTTGTAACTCGACCAGTTGAGCCTGGGCAATTTCCAGGTTCATTTCTAGCCTTGCTACTCTGACCTTCAGCTCGGCGTTCTCCTCCAGTATCGTGCGCATATCACGCCAGGTGCAGCGTCCTTCCTGTAACATCACGCGCCTTCCTTACGCTAAGCTAACATCTACAATCCGGCTATTTTGCAGCAGTTGCAATAATATATCAAGAGCGTATAACGAAGCGCCTTCTTTATACGTTCTTAAATATATAAATCTCTGCTGCTCGAGCGGGCGTCACGTTGATGTCGTGAATCCGTATAGAGAGGTATTAATTAATCTATCGCACAATGATTACTAAGTAAAGCATCGACTCAATGATTGCTCAGAGCACCACCGCACTAATACACACCTCAGATATATGCAGAGTAATATTAGCCTGGCATCCACATTGCTCACTTTGCGCGATGGCTACGCATTTCGACGTCAGCAGAGCAAGCAACAGACACCACACAGCGATGCGTGCCCATGGTCTTTCAAATGTGACCATTGCTGTGTATGCGTCGCCAATTGCTGTCGAATACGCAGTACAACTATATTGGTGATGATGGTATTGACAATAATCGTAATAATACAGCTCATGTTGCTGCTGCTGCCGATAATGATGATGCTGTGATTTTAATTAATATTAACGTTTCTATTACTATTACATGAAAAGTTGCGTAGTTTACATAATAGCTAACCAACCAAATATTTGCATATATACATTCTACATGTTACTAAATATTGCCGCCGAACGCGCAGTACAATAATAGGTACAAGTACAACGAACGTAGGTAGAGCGATATGTTTGTGGCAATAATCATTATACACTAGAAAACTACAAGAAAACTCAACGCAAACCTGCACTGTGCTGGCTTTGACACGGTATACTGCAGAGCAAACGTGACTAAAGGAGCAT